CCTCCTCCTCCTCCTCCTCCTCCTCCTCCTCCTCCTCCTCCACCCCACTCCACTCCCTTCAAGCACTGTTGATGTCACCTAGTTGGGTCATGAAATGTCTGCAAGAAAACCACCCAGCTCAGAGAGCACCAAGGACCCCACAGTCCTCCTCCTTCTCTTCCTCTACAGCACTGATGATGTTCCCTAATTGGATCATGAAATGTCTGCAAGAAAACCACCAAGTTCAGAGAGCACCAAGGGCACCACAATCCTCCTCCTCCTCCTCCCCACCCCACTCCCTTCTAGCACTGTTGATGTCACCTAGTTGGGTCATGAAACGTCTGCGAGAAAACCACCAAGCTCAGAGAGCACCAAGGACCCCCAGAGAGAGGACTGTATCCAATCCCTCCAATCGGAGAGCTATCAGCAGCTCTGCGTGGCGTTGGTCATTTCGGTCATCTGAATGACCTCGTTCTCCACCAAAGCCTGCCCTCCTTCCCCGTTGAGCTGCCTCATCCTCAGGTTGATTGACCCATAGGTCTTTCGTGGCCCTCTGGACACTGGGAATGTCCTCCTCCTATAGAGCTCCCCTTTATACATGGAGACCATCAAGAGCACGGAGAGGAGCATCCCGCCCAAAGTCAACATGACCAAGCCCGCGATGATGCACTTGTCCAAATGGGAGCTGAGGTGGGCATAGTACATCTCCAGTCTCTCCATCTCCCGGGCGGACACCGTGTCTGGGTTCACCCGAGCCTCCCGCGGGATGCTGTAAGCCACGATCACCAGCAAAATCCCACCCACCAGGAACACCAGGGCCAAAATGAAGCCGTAGTCCACCGAGTTCCCGGTTGGGTCTGACAGTGGCGTATCCTCTGACCTCGGAGAAAGGTCATCGGCGGGAGGTGGTGGATGTTCCTTGGGGTTCCCTGGTCCTCTCTGGAAAGAAGTTTCCTTCTCTTCCTCCTCTTCCTCTTCCTCCCTCTGGTAAGAGGCATTCTCAATGCCTGGCCCGGCCGCTGTCCGTGGTGCTAAAGGCTTCCCTTGCCTCGCTCCCTGGCTGGACCCCAGATGACTCTCCAAGACCGTCAGTTCCAGAGGACTAGTGGACGCCATTGGGATGATGTCTCCTTGGTCATCCCCCTTAGTGCTTCACCTGCAGGTACGTAAAAACACAAGCATCAAACGGATGAGGACACGCGCCCTCGTGCGGACATGAACTGTTTCAACTTCTTCCCTCGAGATGATTCTTATAGGGCATGGCATGCCAAAACAACTAGACCCAAGGACAAATTTTTCCCCATGTCATCCCTCTGCTAAGCAACTAAATGCCCTGGGATGTCAAATGCCATTTTTATGTCCTGGGATGTCAAACCACCTAATGTAGGACGGCATTATTCTGTTTCTCATCTTTCCTATTACCTATTCCTTTAGCATCTTATGACTGAAACTTGTTTGTATCTTATGGATAGGATAGGATAGGATAGGATAGGATAGGATAGGATAGGATAGGATAGGATAGGACAGGACAGGACAGGACAGGACAGGACAGGACAGGATAGATAGGATAGATAAACAGATTATAGAATAGAATAGAATAGAATAGAATAGAATAGAATAGAATAGAATAGAATAGAATAGAATAGAGAAGGATAGGATAGATAAACAGATTATAGAGTAGAGTAGAGTAGAGTAGAGTAGAATAGAATAGAACAGAACAGAACAGAATAGAACAGAATAGAGAAGGATAGGATAGATAAACAGATTATATAGAGTAGAGTAGAGTAGAGTAGAGTAGAGTAGAGTAGAGTAGAGTAGAGTAGAGTAGAGTAGAGTAGAGTAGAGTAGAGTAGAATAGAATAGGAATCTTGGAGGTCTTCTAGTCCAACCCCGTTCAAGCAGGAGATTCTATACCATTTCACACAAATGGCTGTCCAGTCTCTTCTTAAAAACCTCCAGTGATGCAAACCTCTGGAGGCAGGTTGTTCCACTGGTTAATTGTTCTAACTGTCAGGAAATTTCTCCTTAGTTCCAGGTTACTTCTCTTAATAATAATAATAATAATAATAATAATAATAATAATAATAACAACAACAACAACAACAACAACAACAACAACAATAGTAAAGTTGGAAGGGACCTCGGAGGTCATCTAGTCCAACCCCCTGCTCAGGCAAGAAACCCTATACCATTTCAGACAAATGGCTGTCCAGGCTCTTCTTAAAAACTTCCAGTGTTGGAGCATTCACCGCTTCTGGAGGCAGGTTGTTCCACTGGTTAATTGTTCTAACTGTCAGGAAGTTTCTCCTTAGTTCTAGGTTGCTTCTCTCCTTGATTAGTTTCCATCCACTGATTCTTGTCCTGCCTTCAGGTGCTTTGGAGAATAGCTTGACTCCCTCTTCTTTGTGGCAGCCCCTGAGATATTGGAAGACTGCTATCATGTCCCCCCTCGTCCTTCTCTTCATTAAAGTAGACAGACCCAATTCCAGCAGCCGTTCCTTATATGTTTTAGCCTCCAGTCCCCTAATCATCTTTGTTGTTCTTCTCTGCACTCTTTCTAGAGTCTCAACATCTTTTTTGTTTTGTGGTGGTCCAAATTAGACACAGTATACCAGGCGTGGTCTCATCAAAGCAGTATAAATTGATACTAACACTTCACACGACCTTGATATTATTCCTTTGGCACAGCCTAAGATTGCATTGGCTTTTTTGGCAGCTGCAAGCTGGCTCCTATTTAATGGATTGTCTACTAGGACGCCAAGATCCCTCCTCCCACAGTTACAGCTGTTGAGCTGGGTACCACCTATGCCAGTGATGGCGAACCTTTTAGAGACCGAGTGCCCAAACTGCAACCGAAAACCCACTTATTTATCGCCGGGTGCCAGGGGGGCGTGGCCCATTGGGTGGGTGTGGCTGCGGTGGTAACGGCAGACTGGATGGGACTAAAAAGTTCAATCAATCAATTCCAACATTGCAAGATCTTTTTTTTCCCGCGAGAAGTTGAAATTGATTGATTGAACCTTCTTTTTTTTTTGGCACACAGCGGCGGAGGCCTAAAGCGAAAAGGTTTTATAAAACCCAGCTGAAGGCCTAGAACTGGGGCGACGGCGCACGTGCCCACAGAGAGGGCTCTGAATGCCGCCTCTGGCACCCGTGCCATAGGTTTGCCACCATGGATCTATGCTGTACCTGTGCCTTTGATTTTTCATACGCCATACACCTTACCAATTACCTGGGTTTTCCCCAGCATATTCCCCTTGGCTGCTGAATCAACCCATTTTCTTGTTTTACACCAAATTCTGAAATTTTGAACCATCCAAACGGCATAAGCTATAAACAGCTGAAAGTAAGGATAAATAAGACCCTTTCTAAATGCTTAAGGGCCCTGGTGAAGCATCGTCTACGAACGTACTCAGGGGCACAGAGAAAGCCGCATAAATGCAATTTTATTTTATTTTAATTGCATTTACTTATTTATTTCTACCCTACCATTATTATTTTTATAAATAACTCAAGGTGGTGAACGTATCCAACACACCTTCCTCATCCTCTTTTCCCCCCACAACAATGCTGTGAGGTGGGTTGGGCTGAGAGAGAGGGACTGGCCCAGAGTTACTCAGCCAATTTTCAAGCCTAAGGCAGGACTAGAACTCACCGTCTCCTGGGGATTGGCCCAAAGTCACTCAGCTGGCTTTCATGCCTAAGGCAGGACTAGAACTCACCGTCTCCTGGGGATTGGCCTATAGTCACTCAGCTGGCTTTCATACCTAAGGCAGGACTAGAACTCACCATCTCTTGGCGATTGGCCCAAAGTCACTCAGCCAGCTTTCATGCCTAAGGCGGGACTAGAACTCACCATCTCCTGGTGATTGGCCCAAAGTCACCCAGCCCGCTTTCATGCCTAAGGCGGGACTAGAACTCACCATCTCCTGGTGACTGGCCCAAAGTCACCCAGCCGGGTTTCATGCCTAAGGCAGGAGTAGAACTCACCGTCTCCTGGTGATTGGCCTATAGTCACTCAGCTGGCTTTCATGCCTAAGGCAGGACTAGAACTCACCATCACCTGGTGATTATCCCCCACTTTCTAGCCTGCTGCCGTAACTACTAGTCCAAACTGCTTCTAAATACTTAGAGGGAGTTTGAAATCACGATGAAATCTGTCATCCATGCAGAAGTGCGTCTCTCTCTCTCTCCCCCTCTCTCCCTGGTCTGCTGGAATCCTATATGAACCAACTAATCTAGGATTAGGCGCCAATCCCATAAGAAGGAGCCTGATCAGCTTTGGCTTGGACTGGACCAGGCTTAAGCTGGTTGGCGAAGCTGGCTAAACTATCAAAACGACTAAAGGCGTTATATAAGATGTTTTATAGATGGCATATGACACCAGTTCGCTTAGCGAAAATGTTTAAAAATGTTTCGGATATCTGCTAGAAATGTAAACAGCCAGGCACTTATTATCATGCCTGGTGGATATGCCCTATCACTAAGAAATATTGGTCTAAGATCCATAGATGGTTGGAAAAGATGATGAAACTACAGATAGAATTTAAACCGGAATTGTTTTTGTTAGGAATATTAAGACCTAATTATGGTAAAGAGAATGACTACTTGATATTGCATGTTTTAACTGCTGCGAGGATAGTATTTGCCCAATTTTGGAAAAACGAGAATTTACCATCTGACCAGACTATAATTACTAAAATTTTAGAGTGCGCAGAAATGGATAGACTAACATTAGAAATGAAGGAAAAAGATGATTCAATTTATTTGAGAACTTGGGGAAAAATTTTATCGATGGTTAGAGACACGTTAGAACTTGAAGGATTCAATGTTTTAGAATAGATGACTGATTTTTAATTGAGTTTTAACTAACATTTGGATGACGTGATTATTTTTCCTGATTTACTGATTTTTCATTTGTGACTTTCGATTGTTAGGATTTTTTGAGATGTTATTGTTTACTTCATAGACCAACATATTTGTTTACTTAATTGTTTTTAATATGTTGTAGTCTAAGCTTTGGTAAAAAGGGTTGAATATGATATTTACTCATTATTATGATCCGGACGGTAGCTTGTTTGTTGAAATATGTGATTGTACCTATCCTTATTTTACCCTAATTCCTTATTCCCTTCCCCTTCCCCTTTCTTTCCACCCCTCCCCTTACCATACCTGTATTGTTCCTATTTTTCCTCATCTATATAAACTTAATAAAATTTTGTTTAAAAAAAAAAACAAGACTAAAGGCGGATCTCCCTTAAGCGGTCTAGCCTGTTGTGTGAATCCAGCTCTTTTGGGCTGGCGAGTCTCGGGGATTGAGGACAGCCCTTGCCTGCCTTGGACCTGCTCGTCCCCCTTTCTCAAAGCCACCAACCCCCAGCCAGCCCCCCAAGTCTTCCCTCCGAGTCTCCCTTAAGTCTGCAGCCAGCCTCCGGGAAGCCCCGATCTCTACCTTGTCTCCCGCGGGACAGGGAAGGGACAGCCCCGAGCCTCCGCAGCGGCGGCAGCAGCCGGGAAGGCGCGGCGGAGGAGCTGCCCGAAGGGAAATCTTTCAAACGACGCGGTTTTCCCGAGGGTGGCTAGGCGGGAAGCGGGAGGGAGGGGGGTCTCCGCCGGCACAGTCCGAGCGCTTTCCCTTCTCCGCAGTGGAACCGTTCCGGTGCTCCTTGCTGTAGACCCCACCCCACCCCCGCTAACTAGCCCGTCCAGATGGATGGTGCCGGCTGGGAACGATGGGGAAGAGAGTCCCTTCCTCCCCCCCCGCCTCTGCAGAATCCCAGCCCGGCCTGTCTTCCCGAGCATCCCAACCGACAGGGGGGGGGGGTCGTCGCCTTTCCACCAGCCAGGCTGCTGCTTTCCTCCGTGCCCTCCAGCAACCGGGCTGGCTCTCTGGCTCCTTCCCGGCTCCCCTCCTACCTGTCCTCGCCCGGCCCGCCTGCCCACCTGCCTCGGGGCGCATGCTGCCTGGCCGGGCTCCTCCAGCGGGGTCTTCTCCTCCCGGCCGGCGAGGCTCGCTCGGGCGCACGACCATGGAGGCGAGGGTCTGCCGGGAGGGTTCAGGCCGAGCCGGGCAGCGTGGAGACGGGCTGCTGCTTCGGGGGAGAGGGATGGAAGTG